GAAAGGAAGGAAGGAGGGAAGGAAAGATGAAAGAAAGAAAGGAAGGAGGAAGAGGAAGAAGAAGAAGGAAGTAGAAGAAAGAAGAAAAACAAAGGGGAGGAGGGAAAAAGAATAATAATAAAAAATTATCCCAAAAAGCTAGTACTGTAACTTCATCTATCACAGACAGTACCGAAACTATAATTATACCGGTCAGTACTGTAACTACGTCTCTCCCGGACAGTTAGTACTACAATTATAATTATCATAGATAGTAAGTAATGTAACTAAATTTGCAATTATCCTTAGTAGTAGTTACCTTTACTTACTGACATAGATAATTCTGATACATTTGCATTTGTATAGACAATGAGAAAGTCGATGACCAGGTTCTCAAAGCTTACCTTGCAAAGGCTCAGGGGCTACGTTCTGGAGAATGGAGGATGGTAGACTCCCTAAGGACACTGGGGGAGGGGAGGGGAGAAGAGGGTGAATTACAGATGGGTGAAAACGTCTAGGTCGGCCTCATGTATGATATACAATTGTGTGCAAGCAGTACATGAATTATACAGATACAGCTGACATAGATTTGTCAAATCAAAATGCCATTGACCCTGTTGCATTGTGGGAGGGTGGGGGAGGAGGGAGGGGGTGTAGAGAGAGAGAAATCAGAAAGGGAATAGGAATAAAGGAGAAAATGATTGTAGATAAGCTGAAAGCCGATTTCTGAAAAGATGCACATTAAATAGATGCGATGCAACATCAAAATCATCATCAGTTTCCACTTCTGCCGTTAGGCGTTGTGGGGAGGAACAGTTTGCGATATATTGCTTGATGGGCAGATAGAGCTACTGGCATTCCATTTTGATGTAGAAGCTCTTTAATGTTATCAATCCATCTTCTCCTAGGAGGCCTCTTTCACTTTAGATCTTTTATGTGCAGCGCTTGCGTTGGTAGTTCGGGCTGCATTCTTACTAGATGACCAAACCATTTGATCTTCTGTTTCTCAATGAATTTGCTGCATGCTGTTGTTCCTACAGTGTATCTGAAAATAATCATTTCTAACTTTGTCTCGAATGGTTATGTTAGTGGCTTTTCTCAGGCATCTCATTTCACAGGTGTTAATTTTACGTAGGTTAGCCTCTGATAACCCAAGCCTGTCAGTGGTAGAACAGTGTTGGTATGAATATGCTGTTTATAATCTGTTTCTTGGCACTCTCACTTAAGTTTAGATGTCTTAATTATAGCGTTAGTTGGTATATAGTGCACTGGCTCGTTAGCATCTTGTTTGAATTTCTCAATATACTTCCTGTCTTCCGAAAATATACTTCCTAAATATTTTAATTCTTTAACTTGCTTCAGACAAGTACCATTCACTCTGATATGTAGCGAGCTAGGAATTCTGCTGATCAGCATTACTTTAATTTAATTAGTATTTATTTCTATGTTATATCTTCTGCATGTTGAACTTAGCCTGTTTTAATGTTTTTGCAGTCTTCTCCCCTTATTGTAGAACAGGCACTGATTTTCTGCAAATAGTAGCTCGTTTAGTGTATGTGGATCTAATTCTTTTTCTGGAAAGTAAAGGTCCTGATTTTATGGGTCGACTGCTTTAAAACTGGCTACTTTTGATATTTTGTCCATGTATATAGTCAATAAGAGAGGAGACAGCACACACCCCTGCCTCACCCCTGTATTATTATAAACATATCAAAAATGCCTTCTTGTGTTCTGACTGCGCCTTGAGAAGTGTGGTACATGGCCACGATTTTATCTAGCAATTGTCCTTGTACCCCATAATCCCCAAGAAAAACCCATAGTTTGTTTCTATCTACTCTAACAAAAGTTCAACAAACACAATATTAGTTCATCATCAATGGTTTTCTCGCAAACTTGTCTTAGTGTAAATAATGATTCCGTGCAACCTTTTTCTTTCCTGAAACCAAAATGTACTTGGGTGCTATTATGCTAAAGGTCTAACTTTCTGTACTAATAATTTCGCACACATTTTTCCTCTTTGGCAAGAGTGATATACCTCTGTACGATTGCATCTGTGTGATGCAACAATGGTCCTTAAATCCTATTCTCTAACTGTGGAAGCCTTTTTTTTTAAGTGAGTGGGTTTTGCTAGTTACACCCACCATTGTCATGGGCTGTAATCATATGCCACCCTAGAGCACAATACAATACTATCATCCGGAAAGACGGAGAGGTTCCAACAACAACGGATGGGAAAGAACAAGTTAGTTTCATAATATAAATGCAAGCAGTATTTTTAACATGCAGAGTAAAGTTTCATAACAATTTAAAATTAAGTAACTGACAGGTCTTTGGTCAAACAATGTGTCATTGTTAAACTAAATCTTCTTGGCACTCACCATCTTCTGCTTCTTCTTCTTTCGTTCGCCTGAAATAAATAAGTTGTCTATATCAGCAGTTTTGTCTCGTATATAAATTTCACTGTTGTTGTTAGTTCATTCAGTGGTCCATAGAGTTTACATTTCACTGTTGTTCTTTCTGGCCAAAAGATTTGCCTCAATGTGTCAAATTCAGTGCAGTCCTGGAGTACATGCTCTGCTGTCTGGGGCACCTACTCACCATCTGTAAACTTCGGCAAGACGTTCTGTTTGAGTGTCCACTTCCGGACTCTAGTTCTCATCCAAAACTCAAAACAAGTGTGCACTTCTTTTACAGATCTGGCTTACTTGTGTGAAGACTTCTGGTTCCTTACTTCAAAGGCAAATGCTCTCCAACTTAAAAGGAAACATCCCTAATTAGCTGCCTTTTTTTTTTTACCCCCTCCCCCCCCCCCCCCCCCCCCCCCCCACCCCTCACAATGGAGCCCTGAAACCCACGGAGGGAATTTTATCATTTAAAAGCTTTCAACAAATACATTATTTTCAACATGCACAGAAACTTTTCATGACAATTACAAATTAAATAACCAACGGGCTCTCAATTAACTCTTTGAGTCCCAGGGGGTTTAGCATCACAGGCTCAACAGTTAGTACAGAGAGAAATAAAATCAGCGCATCATGCGGTCATTGGGCTTCTGGGTAGAAACCTATGAACGTATGGTGCGTTCCTCAGGACTCAAAGAGTTAAACAATGTGACACTTGTACATTAAATAGACAGTTACGGGTAAAAGGTGTACTCATGGACTAAAACTGCGTAAGTAGGTGAAGGACCTTCTTCCCACCATTGGCACATGGTGCTTTTTCTTCTTCTTCTTCCTTCTGTCACCCAGTAGAGTACAGGCCCTCAACCAACTCACACCAAGCCGTTCTATCCTTCACTGTTGCATGCAGCTCACCTCATGTCCTCCATATCTTTTTAACTTCCTTCTCTAGCTCCTTTCTCATTCTTCTATTAAAAAAGATAACCCTCTTCTTGTTGGCTGGATTTTTCTTGTTTCTCTTTTTGACTTTTCTGTGGCTGGTTGGTTTTTGTGGCTATTATTTTTACAGGATGAGGTAGCCAACCTCAAGTCCAACCTTTACCCTTAGGTGCCTCTTACAACATACCTGGTATGGTGAAGTTTTACTAATCCTTACTTACGTAAGGATCTTGGTGACACTACCTTATAAATGTTATGCTGACGCTTGGTACCTGAATAGTTATGGCACAGCTTCCCACACTTTTCAAATTGGTGACAAATTTTTTTAGACAAATAATTGAATGACAGACGTTAAACTAGCCCCTCATAAGAGATAGAAACACATATAACAATTTTAATATGGAAATGCTTCACAACACAAACCAGTCTCATGAAAACATGTAATTTACATTAAAACTAAATAATATTTCCAAGATTAATGTCAATGTTACAAATTCTAACAATAATGAAACAAATTTAAGAGCACCTGGAAAAAAAAAACTGTGGAGCTGCATTCTAATTATTCTGTTCAACACTTTATGTTCAGAGACATGTTAATAATTGGCAGAAAGTTCAGGTTAGTTACATATTCTTTACAAGATATTGCATAGCCAACATCAGCATTTGTTGGCTTTATTTTTTTTTTTTAGGTTTCACTAGGCAATTTTACATCTGCAGTTTGCCACTGCTCCTGAACGATTGGCTCTTGATATTCCTGTCAAAACCAACACAAGGCTGTCTGCTTCCCAATCACCCACAGCTGAAATCGGACTGGGGACCTCAGAATTACAAAGCGTGTTCATAATACCTAAGCCGCAGATACCCGATTGGTAGAAAACAGAGGAAAAAAGTAGAAAGCAAGTGAGCAAGAGGTAGACATTAAAACAAGTGGAGGGATAAGATCAAGAAGTGTATGTACAAAAGTTTGAGAGAGTGTACAATATGCCATCTGCCTAACAGTTTGATGATCATGGGTTCATTTCACAGACTGTGTCCCTCAGCTCACAAGTGCAATTTTCACAGAGACCCTGCAGACTATCACTGAAGCTACAAAGTCCTTGATTTGTGCGACTCTCCTAACAGGTGACTACCGATTCTGTGAAGACTTTTATATCCCATATATTGTCGGCATCAGTGGCTTAGGTGTTGCAAACGAGATTCATACTGCCGGGGTGCCAAGTTCGATCCCAGCTGCAGAACCTGCGCCTTACATTGGTTTCAACAGTGGTATCGAGAAGCCGACCATCTGGAAAGCAATGGCAAACTACTGGCCCTAAATGTGCCAAGAAAACCCACAACGGTCACAAAATTCTAGAGTTGGTTCTGCATCGTCCTGTAAGGGATACGCAACTAACTATTCTAACTGTTTACTATTTATTACAAATGTGTCACTCAGTTTACTTCTCGAACATAGCAAAAAAGAATGCCTGCTGCACGCTTACGCTACATATGAAGAAACTCACTTGTGAAAACCACCTGTTACCATACTGTGATGTTAGCTGTGCACAAATATTCTCAACAGTGAAGCAATGAGGGGGAAAATATCATATGATACCATCTCCAGTGTAACTGTTAGATGCTAACACTTACAAACTTGAATTGATTACACCTCGCCACTGTTCTACATTTAGGAATGAAAGTTTATCACTTTGGAGGTGTCGGAGTTGTTCTTTTCTTGCTCTTACTCTTCCCACTTCCCTGCATCTGCGTGAGAGTGCTGCCCCCTGGCTTCAGCTGCAGGGAATGGAACTGTAGCGTCTGCTGGCCCCCACCGGGCCCCTTCTGGAAGGTCACGTGAGTGCCCAGCTGTGATGATGCTTGACCCAGCTGTATCAGCTGTTGAGCGGTGATTGCTGTTCCTGTGCTCTGTCCTGGCTTGCCCCCAACCCCCAGGGCAGTCATCTGCTGGCTTGTCAGTACTGATGGAGTAGCAATCACAAATGAATAGGTGTAGATTATAAGTGCAGGTGTTACACGAATTACAACAAAAATCAGGATTACACATGAAGGAGTCAGAATTTAAACAAGAAATCAGACAGGATTACATGTGGATAAGTCAGGATTACAATATAATATCTGATGATAAAGTTTTAGGGAGGGAATGGAAAGACAGCCACAAATACCATAGAACATTTCTACAAAATTCTATCAACAGTGTACTAAACAAACTGTGAACTGGAAAACTCAAAGGACAAGACTACAGAGCTTCAAAACAACCAAGATCAACATTCTAGTAAGTAAAGAAATGTCACCTTTTCCACACCTTCAGATGTATTGGGCATATAGGGCTAGACCTGTATTTTATGTACCAACTGACATTCTGTGTGTCATGTGGTCAGCATTGCACCAGTTGCCTTTACTTGCCAGGACTTTACCTGGTACCTACTTAAGGCTGGGTCGACCTGGGAGCCAAGATCATTTTGTGAAAAGTCTGACTTCTTCAGGATCTGAACTCATGACCTTCAGATCCACAGGGAGCTTTAACTGTTACACCACAGTTGCTCTCTTGGTCAACCTACATACAAGAAAAAAGTAATTTCAGGAAAGAATATTGGGCTATCCTCCGAATAACGGTCCCAAATTATCGAGGCTGAGAAAATACCCTAACAGGGCCTCAGTCATATGTAAATTGCGGACCCCTTTCCGATGACTATGCCTCCACCGTCAAGAGTTTCCCTCGCACAGCTACGTGCAGCGCGGAGGTAGCTAAACTAGATGGCTGGGACTCGCTAGCAAAATAAAATGGAGGAAGATACAGGAGATGCGGTAGCTGCTGCTCATGAGTCCCAGGCATCTAGTTTAGCCCTCCTCCACGCCACACGTAGCTGCGCAGAAGAAACTCTCAGCGGTGACTTTAACTCAGTGGAAGCTTTTCCGTGGTATGCGGTACAGTCACCGGAAAGAGGTCTGCAATTTACATATGACTGAGGACCTGTTAGGGTATTTTCTTAGCCTTGATAATTTTTGACCGTTATTCAGGGGATAGCCAAATATTGACAATAAGGATTATATTACAAAACAAAATAAGTAAGAAGGCATTTGAAAGAGAACAAGTGCAGAAATATATAAACAAGTATCAAATGAAGGCCAAGCACTGTTTGCCTAACTAAATGGTCCGTTTACTTTGCAGATCATCCCCCTCAAGCCCCAGTTATGGATTTCCCAAAACTACGGTGCTATTTCGATGACTAAATATGTACTCTAGTCTCTATGCCACAGTTGAAGGTTCAGTGAATGGCAGACCTGGTTGAGGAATGATTTTTTTTTCGGGGGTGTTTTGTGAGCCAAATATCTTTCTTCTTCATGTTCACCTGCTGTACACTCCTGTGGAAACTCCTCATTGTCTGTCCACTTCTGGACCTTTGTCTTGTTCAAGAACTTGAGTTTTGCATGCTCATCCATGTTACACATCTGGCTTATTTATATGCAGACTGTTGGTTTCCCACCTCTCAGGCAGATGCACTATGACTTAGAAGGAAACACCTCTATTTAGTCGACTTTTACAACATGCTTATTAGGGGATGGTGGATCCAACTCTCCCCCTCCCCCTTTCTCCCCACAATGGAGCCCCAGAGCCCACACTGGAAACTCAGCTTCATCTACATGGCAAAAGATGAAGCAGACGGCAAAGCACAAACGACAGTCAACCCTTACCTGTAGAGAGGGGTACAGCCGATGTGGTCCCCTGGGCTATTCTGGTCACTCCCTGTTGTCCGGCCGACGTGGCAGATAAAGAGCCTGACCTGATCTGACCCCTCTGTTGCTGGACGCTCAGAAGCTGTATTGGACCCTGTTGACCTTGTAGCTGAAACAAAATTTGTAGATTTCATCAGTTTGTCCCCTCTGGGATGCTACCAAAAGGTTTATCACACCATCCTGAGATTTTAAACTTGCAAACTGAATGGCAGATCCCAGATACCCTGTTCAACCTCTAAAGAAGTTATAATTAGGGCACCTGTAATGGTTGGGAGTCGCCCTAGCGGAGCTGCTAGATGCTCACCTGCAGATCAGAAGGTCGTGGGTTTGTACCTGACAGAGCCAGACTGTTTCAAAAATGACCTCAGCTCCCAGGTGGACCCAGCCTTGAGTGGATACCGGCTGCAGTCCCAGGAAGTAAAGGCGGCCGGTGTGATGCTGACCACATCACCCATCTTGTGCTGATTGGTCTATAAAATATAGGTCTAGCCCTATACACCTAAAGGCGAAGAAAAATTGTCCTTTCCTTTTACCAGTAATGGTTACACCAGCCTCGTATAATTATAATAATCTGCAATCCTCAGCCATGACTGCCCAAAGCTGTTAATGCTAGGAGAACCGGGGGGGGGGGGACCAACATTGACAAGGCAATAGGGTTAGGAATATCACTTCAATGAAGACAAGCATCTGCAGGAGATGGGACCACTCACCTGGAGAAGCGGCATGGCAGTAGACCCCCTGATGGTTGCACCTCCCTGCGTCTTGGACGAGACTGGCATCAGCTGGGTCAGACTACCCAGTCCAAAGGACAGCATGCCTGATCCTTGGGGGAGAACTGTCGTGGTGCTGGAGGACTGACCTGCAAGGGGGTCAGAAATGAAATGAATTCTTTTCACACAACTATGCTGAGTATTATTTTTCTGTTTTCTTCCTTAAAAGAAGGGATGGTAGGGTGTGCTGTGGTTTACAACTAGGCTGCAATATCTACGTCAGGACTATTCAACTAAGTTTACACAGGGCCCAACAATTTTGAAAATGGGGATAGTCAAGGGTCAGAAGCCCAAGCCCCAGGATATAAAGATCATTAATATAATACAACTGGCAATGATCCGCCGGCCATCTGCTGGACCTCCTTGGGTGATCTGGCCCGCTGGCTGCCAGCTGAATAGCCCTGATCTACAGGTTTACCCCAACACATCCAGTTACAGGAAACTCCTAATTAATTAGTCACTTTTTACGAAATGTGTGTGGGAAGGGGTGTGTGTGTGTGTGTGTGTGTGTGAGACCTGGAACCTGCTCAGGTGATAAGTGATACTGTTACTCTGAAGCTGAGGTCACCTAGAGTGTGAAGTTAAATTTAGTACCATACCCTTATCAAGACATCAAAACCAACCCTTGTTTTTAACTGGCAGAAGTTTCTCGTGTGGGTGCTGATGACTTATGGGGGGGGGGGGGTGGAATAACAGACCCACGGCCCCTTCTTCACTATGTGGGTTCTGATGACTTATTTTGGGGGGGAAAAAAACAGACGCACTGCCCCTTCTTCATCATCATCATTAGTGCCTTGCCGAATGGTGTGGGCGATCATGCCTCTCCACAATCTGCGACCTCCTGCAGCATGTATCAGTTCGTGTGCTGACACACCTCCATGTCATGCAACAAGACTGTCAAGAATTTTCTCTCATTGTCTTCCTCTTTCCCTCCTTCCACAGATCTTTCCAGTGGTCACAACATGTTCCATTTTCCTTCTTCTCATAACAGTCCCTTTCTTATGTATGTCATAAAACGCAGCTGCTAAAATTAGATGTGCTGGGCTGAAAGGCAGAGATATTGCAGCTGAGCTGAAAATGACAATACAATGTGCCAAATAATAATAAGAAGAAAAAGAAGCAGAAGAAGAAAAAGAAGCAGAAGAAGAAGCATAAGCAGTGGCAGCAACAGCAGCTGTTGCCGGCAACAATGAAGATGAGGGGGAGGAGAAGAAGAAGCAGAAGCGGTATCAGCAACAGCAGCTGTCATCTGCAACAACAACAACAAGGGGGAGGCGGAAAAGAAGAAGAATGAGGAAGTCCGGATCTAGACCCACTGTCTCCTAACAAGACATAAAAGGTGATTAATTAGGGGTGTTTCCTTTCAGAGAGCATCTGTTTGAGAGGCAAGGTACCAACAGTCTGCATACAAATAAGCAAGACCTGTAATACAGATATACACGCAAAACTCGAGTTCTGGAACAAGGCTGAGCCCTGAAGTGGAGGAACAACCAAGACCTATACCTCAGTGGTAGGTTTTTCTGATGCCAATTCCCCAATTCTGGACCAGGAGTCCAAAGGTTCCTTTGCCCAGCTACTGAGCTGTAGATTTCATCTGGAGTTTTGTCTTCTGTTCTGACTGTGGCATGCTGATGACTGATTAAACTGGTGGGTGGCAAATTACATTCAGAATGGAGTGTACTTGTGCAGGTGCAATGACGACTTTCATGACTGGATGTCTGCACCAATAGTGAGCTACAATTCTGGTGTTGGCAAATCTGACAGCTACCTTATGCATCTTTACTTTGCATGTGCAAGCTTCAAGACTTTGCTATGACAAGTTTTTCACTAGTTTTTAAATGGTACAGTGAAAGACCTTTTGGCTGATTTTTTACTGGCACACAAATGGAGCAGTTGTGGGGCGACCCACCTGCAGTGTTGATGGAACTTTGACTGACAGCTAAGGACTAACTAACTAGTGAAACAGCAATATGAAACCACTGCCTACCTGTGGACGATGCCACAGAAGCGCTTGTGCTGGTGGCAGTGTTTGATGAGGCTGCCTGCAGTGCTGTAACCATAGTGACAAAGGTTGTAGCGTTGCTTCCAGATGTTGTGGATGCGGTGGCCTGGAATGAAACATGGGTCACAAAAAGTCAGCTATCAACAATTAGCTGTAGCACATTATTAGCGCAATGTCAAAGTCAGCAAAGTGCTTTTCTTCTTAGCGTTCACCAGCTGTAAACTCTGGCCAAAAGTTCTGGTTGTTCGTCCACTTCTAGACTTTGATCTTCTGCTTCCAGAACTTGAGTTCTGCTTGCACATCCATTTTCAGAACAACAAAGAAGCATCAGGGCATTCACAATACACTCAGTGGGCAGAACAACAAAGAAGCATCAGGGCATTCACAATACACTCAGTGGGCAGAACAACAAAGAAGCATCAGGGCATTCACAATACACTCAGTGGGCAGAACAACAAAGAAGCATCAGGGCCTTCACAATACACTCAGTGGGCAGAACAACAAAGAAGCATCAGGGCCTTCACAATACACTCAGTGGGCAGAACAGTCAAAGAAGCATCAGGGCATTCACAATACACTCAGTGGGCAGAACAACAAAAAAGCATCAGGGCATTCACAATACACTCAGTGGGCAGAACAACAAAGAAGCATCAGGGCATTCACAATACACTCAGTGGGCAGAACAGTCAAAGAAGCATCAGGGCATTCACAATACACTCAGTGGGCAGAACAACAAAGAAGCATCAGGGCATTCACAATACACTCAGTGGGCAGAACAACAAAGAAGCATCAGGGCCTTCAAAATACACTCAGTGGGCAGAACAGTCAAAGAAGCATCAGGGCATTCACAATACACTCAGTGGGCAGAACAACAAAGAAGCATCAGGGCATTCACAATACACTCAGTGGGCAGAACAGTCAAAGAAGCATCAGGGCATTCACAATACACTCAGTGGGCAGAACAACAAAGAAGCATCAGGGCATTCACAATACACTCAGTGGGCAGAACAGTCAAAGAAGCATCAGGGCATTCACAATACACTCAGTGGGCAGAACAACAAAGAAGCATCAGGGCATTCACAATACACTCAGTGAGCAGAACAACAAAGAAGCATCAGGGCCTTCACAATACACTCAGTGGGCAGAACAACAAAGAAGCATCAGGGCCTTTAAAATACACTCAGTGGGCAGAACAGTCAAAGAAGCATCAGGGCATTCACAATACACTCAGTGGGCAGAACAACAAAGAAGCATCAGGGCATTCACAATACACTCAGTGGGCAGAACAGTCAAAGAAGCATCAGGGCATTCACAATACACTCAGTGGGCAGAACAACAAAGAAGCATCAGGGCATTCACAATACACTCAGTGGGCAGAACAACAAAGAAGCATCAGGGCCTTCACAATACACTCAGTGGGCAGAACAACAAAGAAGCATCAGGGCCTTCACAATACACTCAGTGGGCAGAACAGTCAAAGAAGCATCAGGGCATTCACAATACACTCAGTGGGCAGAACAACAAAGAAGCATCAGGGCATTCACAATACACTCAGTGGGCAGAACAACAAAGAAGCATCAGGGCATTCACAATACACTCAGTGGGCAGAACAGTCAAAGAAGCCAATGACGCCCTCTCCATGACAACCAGCAGCATGATGATGGAGGTGATGGCAGTAACGCAAGCGTTCGCGAGGCTCGAAACACAAAACTACACGTGCGAATGTGTACTCAGTGATTCGATGAGTATGATCCGGAGGGTTCAGGCAGGTTCGGCGTGAAGGCAATGACTTTATTCATTAAAGAAGTCCACTATGTGTGGAATCACCATTATTTTCATTCTGGAAGATGCAGGTGTCGATGGAAATGAAAGAGCTGATAGGTGGGCTGGATCCGCTATCACTACCAATGGTCAATCTATGGATTATGCTGATAATATTCATGCCCTCTGAGACATGGGAAGGGTGGAGGACTTTGGGGGCAGTGAATCCACATCACTCGCCAAAATGATTGACTTGGCATCAGCATAGCAAAAAACAAGACACACACCAGGCACATCAGAGGACTTGTTAATTCACACAGAACTAGTATTATCAGCCACCGGACGCTGGGGTTCATACTGACGGAAGGATCTGGGCACCGATGGACATGTCCGGAATGCAATCATGATAACTCAACTAATTAACTAGTCTTGTCGGAACTTCTGTATGTTTCCCTTTTCATGAGGGACAGCGATGAGTAATTTGTGTGGTTTTCAGTGGCACAGTAATGGAGCATAATCAGGGTGCTCTGCTGCAATAAGGTTGGAAGAAGACTAACTCATGAATAAGGTTATGAGTTAGATGGATTTTTATAACCAACCTAAACTTCCCAGGTCCATACAAAAATGTCCTAGAAAGTAAAGCCAGCTGGTATTATGCTGACCACATTATCAATTACATCATCATCATTAAGTGCCTTGCTGACTGGTCTTGCCTCTCCACAATCTGAGATCTTCAACTGCATGTATTAGTGTACTGAGGCCCTTCCACACCATGACAAAAGACTGTCAAGAACTTTCTCCAGTTTTCTTCCTGCCTCTTTTTTTTTTCCACCAAAAATCTTTTCAGTGGTCATAGTTGAAGTTTGCTTCTTCTCATAACATAAGCAAAACAATATTAGAGTCAACAAAAACGCTGTATGTAATAAAAAAAAAAAACCATAACAGAAACATTTTAATTACAGATATATACTAAAAACACCACAATCAAAGAAATATTTTCTTACCAATAGTCCTGACTGCGCCTGTAACAAAGATGCATTATTGCTGATCATAGTTATCGGTACTGGAACCGCTATCTGTCCCAGCGAGACCTTGACAAAAGACAACATGACATTAGTTTGAAGTTTGAAGTATAATCAACGGATCAACATCATGGCACACAGGTAGTAACCCATAAGTGTTTCGTTCTTCTTCTAACTCACGTCTAAGTCCGAAGAAGCTCTAGCACAGTACACAGGCTCTGTAACACCAGCAAGGATCCTGAAATATTTTGGGTAGATTTTTAACTCCAAATTTTGCCCAGGCAGTGCCATTGGGCTACTCTTTTTGATTTCCAACTGCCAATGGATGTTTTACATGTGCAACAATACACAGAGGCATCTGATCTCACTACCCAGAGACCAGGGGGAAATACCAGAAGCCTAAGTCGACGTGAAAGAAAACCCAGCCCTTGGCGTGGATTGAAACTGGAACCTCTAGCACTCGAGGCAGACACTTTGCCTTAAGACTACGCAGCCCCCTCATGACATGTGTTTGTTAGCTATTTAAGAGATAAGCCATAATAATTAGCTCCGGAAGGTTTTCTTCCCCCCCCCCCCCCCACCCCCCCCCCCCCCCCCCCCACAATATTGAATTCAAAATAAAATTCCCATTATTTTTGCCTTGGTGGTCAGAACTGTTGAAATGGAGGAAGACTAGTTTAATCGCTGCACTGTGAATATCTGTAAGATCTTCATGGAAACTGTCTGCAAACTTCCTCCACTTCCCCAGTAAATGTCTTTCCTTTTCCAAGATGATGATATAAACAGTGCTGTGAAGGGTTTTTTCAAATTAGGTAAGCAACTACTTGTGAATCATGCAACCTTATTTATGCCATCATCAATAGTTCTGACCATCAAGCAGAGTCAACATTTCTGTATTCTGTAAGTGCTTTATAAAATCTTAAGGAGCTGAGGTAACACATCAACTAAATGCTCGACTGCTGGCCTGAAAGGTAACAGGTAAAGTCATGGGAAGTAAAGGTGGCTGGTGTGATGTTGACAACATCATCCTTCAAATGCTTGATCTTTATCCAGAACTTGAGTTATTCATGCACATTTGTTTTACAGATCTTGTTTATTTGTATGCAGACTGATGGTTCTTTACCCATCAGGCAAATGTGTGCTTCAACTTTTAAAGAAAACAACCCTAACCAGTTGCCTTGTGCGAAATGCCTATGGTGTGAGGGGTGTCTATTTTTATTCTCCTAAATGGAGAGCTAGTACCCATATGGGAGGAACAGAGATGTCTAGAAGGGCAGCACGAGTGACCAGGAGAGATAAAATCAGGAATGATGTCAGAAAAGAAAACGGTCACCGCAGAACCAATTTTTAAATTAAATACAAAGACAGCACATAAAATGGTTTGCCTACTCAGACAGAATGCCTTGTGTTGCCATACCATACAAGGCATACATCAAAAGAGGAAAGGGATGTAAAGCATGAGGAAGGCCAAGAACAAGATAGAAAGATAACGTCAGAGAAAATCTACAACAGTACATTGGGTCTAAGGTTGGGGCGGCCACAGGAACAAGAACCAGAAACTTATATACCCAGTGTGGGTTCCTATGCTAGGAAAAAAAAAAGAATAGACTTCCTGCCTACCCAAAAGCATGTTGTAAGAGTCGACTAATTAGAAGCTTCCTTTATAGTTGGAGTTCATCTGCCTGAGAGCCAAGGAACCAACAGTCTGCATACAAATAAATCAGATCTGTAAAATGGATGCGCATGCAACACTTAGGTTCTGGAACAGTCCAGAAGTGGACAAACAACCAGAACTTTTCCGCCGGAGTTTACAGCTGGTGAACGTGAAGAAGAAGAAGACCCTTAGATCTCCCTTGACACTCAAAATGGTACAAGAAGATTTAAATTGTTTGTATTTCTGCCGTTTTCATGAGGCCTTTATTTTAATTCATTTTGTGTACCATAAGACAACCATGTCCGTATTTTCTCCTATTATGTTCTTATGTCTTGTCTATTGATCTCAATGTGTGGGTTCCAGGGGCCCTATTTAAGAGGGTGGCTAGGATGGGGGGGTGGCACCACTGCCCCCAACAAGCATACTGTAAAAGGCAACTGAGGTGTTTTGCTGAAAGGTGCAGATATTGCAGCCTAGCTGTATACCACAACATAACATGCAAATTGCCCTTTTAAGTGTGAGTGTAGAAAGCAAACAAGAACAAAAGGAAAATAAAAACAAGAACAGGAAGCAGAAGGAGGAGGAGGAGGAGAAGAAAAAGAATAATAATAATAAGAAGAAGAAGAAGAAGAAGAAGGTGGAGGAGGAGAAGAAAAAGAATAATAATAATAATAAGAAGAAGAAGAAGAAGAAGAAGAAGAAGAAGAAAAAGAAGAAGAAGAAGAAGAAGAAGAAGAAGAAGAAGAAGAAGAAGAAGAAGAAGAAGAAGAAGAAGAAGAAGAAGAAGAAGAAGAAGGTGGAGGAGGAGAAGAAAAAGAATAATAATAATAAGAAGAAGAAGAAGAAGAAGAAGAAGAAAAAGAAGAAGAAGAAGAAGAAGAAGAAGAAGAAGAAGAAGAAGAAGAAGAAGAAGAAGAAGAAGAAGAAGAAGAAGAAGAAGAAGAAGAAGAAGAAGAAGAAGAAGAAGAAGAAGAAGAAGGTGGAGGAGGAAAAGAATATGGAGGAGGAGGAGGAGAAGAAGATGGAGGAGGAGAAGAAGAAGAAGGAAGAGGAGAAGGAGGAGGAGGAGAAGAAGGAGGAAGAGGAACAAGAACAAGAACAACAAGAAACCCTGACTGCAGTTTGCCCCTATTTACAAGTGACCTAGCCATCTATAATGCCTGTAGATTCAAACTCCCACCTGCATCTGCTGTAGGCCCGACAAGTTGGTGATGTTAACGCCAGGTATCCCACTTAAGCCCTGGATGTTGATGTTTGGCGGCAGGCTGCCCAGGTTCCCAATACTGATATTGGTTATATTGCCTGATTGGTTCTGCTGGATCTGACCCTGATTGTCACCTGGCAAAGATCAAGAAGACATACAGTTCAAAACCAACATTAACAAACTGATTTGTATCAACTGGATATAGAATGTCTTTAATGTTATCAATCCATTTTCTCTGTGAGCTCCCTCTTGATTTCACGTTGGATCTTTACAAGTGTAGCACCTGTGTGGTTAGTTGTGGCTGCATTCTTATCAGATGACCAAACCAATCGATCATCTATTTCTCAAGGAATTTGGTGCAAGGTGTTATTTCCTCAATGTCTGATTGCATCATTTCTCACTTGCTCTTGGAGTCTCAGCTTTTGTCAGGCATCTCATCTCACAGGTGTTAATTTTACCTGGATGAGCCTTGATAATGATTGTAACTGACTCACAGAGCATGTTGAGAAAGATGGAGACAGGCATGCTCTGTGCAGAGTGGCAAGCATAAATTCAGAGGTCCAGAGTAGTTAGTGTCCTTTTGGTTATTTTCTCCAGGGTATGCTGGTGTGTTGAGAAATGAGCAGGCAGATAAACTGGCTGGCTCTGCACCACTTGGTGGTGAACTGATGTATGAAAAGCTAAATATTTTGAGGGCCTTTTTGGAGCAAGTGAACAGTGCGGAGACACAGCTAGATCCTTATGGTCTGAGGAGAATGGCGCTGCAAGGAGTTACCAGGAGATCTGGCAGATGATCAACACTCATGGGAAGGGCAAGACGGATATACAGTCAGACAGTTACTGGTGCCACTGGAATTGGAACTCTTTGCTTGGTGCTGAAGATGGCGACGGAGCGCTTATTGGAGTGTCCTGAGTGCTGTGAAGTCGATTCTTAATTCAACATTTTTTTTACAATGTCCAAGACTGCCTCTGGTTGTAAAGTGTTGGAATGAATGTGCTGCTTATAGTCTGATTGTATGCGGTTATAATTGTGTTAGGATGTTTTAATAATGGTGTCAGTTGGTATATGAGTTGACAGGCCATTTGGCATCTTGTTTTTATTTCCTAATCTCTCCGTGGGTGTTGTGAGGCCCCATTTCAGGAAAGCAAGAGTAGACCTACTGCCTCCTCAGAAGCATGTCGCAAGAGTTGACTAATTGGGGGGCTTTCTTATAAGCCTCTGAGGCCAGGAACCAACAGTCTGCATACAAATTGACCAGATCTGAAAAACAGTTGTGCAAGAGGCATTCATGTTCTGCAACAGGAGTAAACTCTAGAGGCTGATGAACAACCACAACTTTCCTGTAGAGTTAACGGCCAGTGAATACAAAGAAGAAGATTTCCTGATCTTTGTGGCCACTTTCTAAAAATATACCTCCTATAAATGAAGTTATAAATAAGTATATAAAAAGTTTATAAATAGAGTTTGTAATCATATCTAAAAAAGTTGTAAATAATGCTCTTACATAATGCTTATGAATGATAAACATACCCGAAATGACTTGGGAGTTAGCGGACGTCAAACCTGCAAAAAAAAAAAAAAAAAATGCTAAATAGGTACAGGCAATTTAGTGCAATCTGTTAAGTTTAGATAATTTACTCATAAACAGAAGGTATTTCAGGAAAATACCTAAGAAGTACCAAAGGTATTTCTGTTGACAATTCCCATACAAATTTGTTTATATCTTCTATCCTGACCTCAGAGACATCATAAATGTGCTTCACTGGCCTTCACTTGCAGATCACGTAGACGGATGGTGGCTTTAGGGTAAAAAGTCCACTTCAAACTCAAAGTACTCTTCTTATAGACAAGTCGCCTCAGAACAGGGCACAACCGATTACGTAACCACATACACACAAAATTCAAGATAGGTGTATCAGTCATGTGCACCTGTTTAAAGGTGCCCCAGACAGCATAGCATGTACTCCAGGACTGCACTGAATTTGACACATTATGGCAAACCTTTTGGCCAGAAAGAACAACAGTGGAACCTAAACTCTATGGACCACTGAATGGATTAACAACAACAGTGAAATTTATACAAGAGACAAAATTGCTGATATAGACAACTTATTTCAGGCGAACGAAAGAAGAAGAAAATAGACAAGTGGTTTTCAAAAAAGTTAAAAGGGGGCATCAAGCAGTTTTGAAACTGACTGCATTTTTACTTGTAATAATCTTTACACTTACATTTTTTTTTCCAGTTTAATTATAAATATCTTATTTTTTAAACTTCTTCTTCTTCTTCTCCTTTTGTTTGCTTAAAAAAAAAATTATCTATATCTGCAGTGTTGTCTCTAGTATGAACTTCCCTGTCTTTTTCAATTCACTCAGTGACCCATAAATTTTGACTTGCACTGATGTTTCTCTTGGCCAAAAGTTTTGCCTTGATATGTTGTATTTGGGACAGCCTTGGAGGACATGAACTGTTGTCTCAGATGCCAATCCACATGTGCACATGGCTGATTCGCCGATTAAAAATTTTTTTGTACATGTGACTTCAAAGTCAATTGTGTCCTGTTCTAAGGCGTAGAATAATAACTTGCTCTATTAATAAATGAGAAATTCATAAACATAAACTATTTATAAAACAGAAAAACCAAGTCATTTTAGTTTACCATCAAGACAAAACAATGGCAAACATCACACTGATATTTGGACACTAAATAACTAGTTCTTGTTAACTGTTTAATTTATGTTATTTTACACTTTGATGAATGGTTTTCTCCAAGTTCTTTACTTTTTTTTGTCCTCCTCTTTTTAATCACATTTTTTAAACATGGGTGGGAGCGGGGGTTGTCTTGCTATATATTCAAGGGGTGCCACCTGCAGAAAGTTTAAAACCACATTAAAGACAGAGCCAAGAGGTGTTAGTAATCTCATTTGTCAATAGCTGTCTATCAGCGTACTCTCGCTCATTTCAAACACACCGTTTCTTTCCTGCCATGAAGCTTCTTCTTCTTAGTGTTCAGCTGTAAACTCTGGCAGAAAGGTCTAGTTGTTCATCTACTTCTGTATTTTTGCAATGTTCCAGAACTTGAGTTTGCATGTACATCCATTTTAAACAGCCAGCTTATTTGTATGCAGACTGTTGGTTTTTCCCCTCTCAGGCAGATACACTCTGACTCTGAAGGAAACACTCCTAATTAGTTGCCTTGTATGTCATGCTTGTTGGGGGTGGGGGCAGTTGATCTACTCTTTATTCCCTTGTGGCTGCTCAACAAGTCTGTGCAACAAATGTTAGAATGTCACTAAAATTTAATTTGTGCACGTCGACTTTTTGAACAAACTATACTCTAGTTTTTTCCTTCTTATGACGTGATCAAAGAATGTGTACTGTCCACTTTGATGAACTTAAAAGTAAAAGTAAAGGACATTTTCATGCCAGTGGCACATCGGGCATATTTTCTTCTTCTTCTTCTTTGTTCACCAGCTGTAAGCTCCAGTGAAAAGTCCTGGTTGGTTGAACATTTGGACTTCGACTTTGTGACAGGGCCGAGTTTTGCATGTACATCCATTTTACTGGCTTACTTGTGTGCAAATGGTTGTTCCCTGCCGCTCAGGTAGATGCATTCAGACTTTAAAGGATGCTCCCAATCAGTTGAGCCTACGACACGCTTGTTGTGGAGGCAGTGGGTCTATTCTTGTTTTCCCTAAAATGGGACCCCGGATCTCACATGGAGAACATTCAGCATATTGAGTTATACATATATTTTGTATTATAATCAACATCATTGCACAACTGGCACGGGCACGTATGTTCAGTCCTCGGATGCAGCAGCCATCCCAAGGTACTTCGACTGATGGTTCCTTAGAGAAGTTAGTTACAATGTCTCCCATCTTGACCTTGGCACAGTAGAGATGTGTTTCACCAGGCTTCCCTTCCAAGTCAGAACAGAAGAAAAATACTAATGACCATGGCAAAAATGTGAGATTTACCTTGCAAGAAACCTGTGATATTCTGCTGCTGCTGTCCGACTGATGCTGCTGGCAAAGTCAGTTCTGTGGCCGAAGACCTCCGGGACAGAGCAGACGTGGGTGTGGGTGTACGGGCACTGGGGGGTGGAGTCTGAACTGGTGTCGGGGTGGGAGCTTTAGGAAGTGCAATGAGGGATGCGGATGTTGGTATACTCAGCTGTTGAGCTGCAATAGACCAAAATTGACCAAAGGCTAAACAAACATGGCTAGAGTTAAAAAAAAATATGGCTAACGGCCAGGCAAACATGGCCAAGGTTAAGAAAACATAGGCAAACATGGTTAAAGGTTAAGAAAACATTGCTTAAGGTTTGACAAACATGGGTAAAGTTTGACACACACTACTAAATGTTATATAAATATGGATAAAGATAAGACAAACATGGCTAAATGTTTAACAATATAGAAAAATAGTTAAACAAACATGGCTAAATATTTTACAAACATGGCTACAAGCTAAACAAATGTGGATGAAGGTAAGACAATCCATAAGTTAGACATATCTTCTTCTTCTTCTTCGCGTTCACCAGCTGTAAACTCTGGCGGAAGGTTCTGGTTGCTCGTCCACTACTGAACTGCAGTCCTGCTCCAGAACCTGAGTGTTGCGTGTGCATCAGTTTTACAGATCTCATTCTCTTGAATACAGACTGTTGGTTCCTTGCCTCTCCGGCGGATGCACTCCGACTTCAAAGGAAGCTCCCCAATTAGTCGACTCTTACGACATGCTTTTGGGGAGGCAGTGGGTCTATTCTTGTTTTCCCCACAATGGGGCCCCGGAACCCACACGGGGGAAGTTAGACATATATAGCTAAGGGCTAGATAAACATGGCTAAACACTGCTACAATTAGCTAAGTATGGCTACAGTATAAATGCACATGGCTGAAGGTTAGACAAAAGAGGCTGGACAAACATGGCTGAAGGTTAGACAAACAAGGCAAAAGATTTAAAAAAGTAGTAGAACTGAAGGTGAGACATACATAGCTAAAGTTCTGACAAATGTGGCTAGTTTTGACAAACAAGTCTAGAAGGTTAGACAGACGGCTCTAAAAATTCAGAAAATGAGTCTAAAAGACAAACCTAAATAATGGTTTAACAAAAATGGCTAAAAGCTATACAAACCTGGCTAAATGCTAGACAAACCTGGCTAAATGCTAGACAAACCTGGCTAAATGCTAGACAAACCTGGCTAAATGCTAGACAAACCTGGCTAAATGCTAGACAAACCTGGCTAAATGCTAGACAAACCTGGCTAAATGCTAGTCAAACCTGGCTAAACAAACAAGGCTAAGTACTAAACAAACATGGCTAAGGGACAAACATTAGGAAAACAGGAAAACTTACGAGTAGTTGCCTTTGGTGTTCCTGCTGGGCTGGCAAGGGGAGAAGAACTAGGCCTGAAGTAAAACAGTCATTTTAAGTGAATCTTCAAAATTATTTTAACGGAACAGGTGATTCATGTGGGGGGGGGGGGGGGAACTGTTTAATCTAGTCTTCACCACAAGAAATAAAAGGAAAAACGCAATAGCTGTCTGAGTTACATTATTGACTAGATAGAGAGGGTCCTAGGGAGCGGACAGAAGCTCGCCTTCAGGCCTGCAGATCACGGAGCAAATCAGCATTGAATCACTTTTTCAGAAATTGCCTTGGCTCATAGGCTGACCCAGCCTAAATGAGAACCAGGTAAA